TCCTGCTTTTTTGGCCAAAGTTTCTCTTTCACTCTGTTCTGCTGTTTGCACTTTCATCTGCATAAACCTCAAACCTGTGATCTTACTTAGGAGACTTTCATGAACTAGTACTGATCAGGAGAGGGTTTTTTGTTGAAAAAGATTTAAAAATAGTGAGAGGCAACTAGATAGACTTTTACCTCCCTAAAGTCTGAACATAATACTCCTCAGGATAAAAATCTCTACCTTGTGTAAATTCAGATGGGGAATAAAACACGACCCCTCTCTTGTATTTGCTTAATGCAAAAGAAGATAACCTATAGATAAAAAGGTAACAGAATAACCCACAGGTACTATTTCTTCAGTAAGTAGTATCAAAGTTTATCTGTTAAACAAAATCTTCCCTGGGCCCCTTCTAAGGGGAGTTTGCTGAAGAAAGAAACACACCTTTGTGAAGGGTGAAGTGGAAAGCCATCAGAGAATTGAATTTGCATCCTTTTCTTTGGATTTAAGTTACCATTTTTCCTTAAACCCTGCCCTCCCTCCTCTTCCCTCTGAAGTTCAATTTCTCTTTTCCTCTTTCATCTTTACATTCTTCTTTAATAATTCATTATTTCTTTCCTTCTCTTCTCTTCTCTTTTCTAAAATTGTATATAAAAGCTGGCCATAATTTGAAGTGATGGGATGAAAGTAAGGCAGGAAAATACAGTGTTAGAAGTCAAAATTCTTGTGAAGGATCAAAGAATGTAGTGACGCTGTGTCAGATGTGAGAGGGGAGAATTTTCACTGTATCTTAGTCTGAGACAGACCAGAATCCTAAGTTTTGCCTAAGACCTGGAAGGAAGACCTGGAGCCAGCAACAATCTCAGCCATGCTCTGATCTTTTTCACCTGCAAATTTTTCATTAGGTATTTTCCAATTAAATTAAAATCGACTTGATTTTATTTTTTTCCCCTTAGCTATTCCTAGACTCCAACTCTTTCTCATACCACAGAACCTCAGTGGGGTGTGTTTGTGGTGCTTTTGCATGACTGATGTTAAACTTTGTTTGAACACAGCAGGAAGAGCTGAGCTATGAAGCTCAGTAAGTACCAGTCTGAAATTAGCTGAAATTCAAGAAATTTTAAATGAGCTGGTGTGAAGTAAGACTTTCATGACAGGAAATAGCAATCTAGAACTCCTGGTTTTAATCCAGAAAATCAAAATGCTTGTTATAGTTTGAAACATGCTGGAAAATTGAAACAGACTGAGATTAATGGGAAAAACCTTTTGATTATTTAAGTATTGCTTAATTAACAATTAGGACCCTGAAAGATGTCATGCCATGAGAACAGCAGGGTTTGGTGCTTACAGTGTTGTTATGAAAAGACTCTAGAATGAGAAAAAACAAACCAGAGATAAAAATTGTCATATTCCCCCCAAATCTGTGAGCTATTGAAATAATTCATTTTTTGGCAGAGAGACTTTTGGTAAAAGTGATTTGGAGAAGTTCTAGAAAGTTACAAAGAATTGAATAAGGGTTTGGAAAGTGGAATTTATTATAAAATATGAATTTATGCAGTCGCACTCCTATTACAATTACTCACATATCTTATCTCTTTTTCAGTGAGAAAAGTAACTTGGCTGACCCAAAAAAATTAAGATACTAACCTTCCAGCCAGGGAGTGTATTCATCTCCATCTCAGCTCTATGCCAACTGAATAAGGTTCAGAAATTAGTCAACAGTTCATGGCATGACACAATTTTAAAAATTAATATGTTATTATAAGTAACTCATTTATAGTTATATCAGATTTTTAAACAGTTGACTTTTCATTCTAGGCATGAGCTAATTGAGAATGAAAACTGAGATCAGGCATCAAGGATATTGTAAAGGTGTCCTTTAGAGCTATGCAGTATAATGGAGTGAAACCTAAACTCCAGGTAGTGAACATGAATTATTTTTGTGACAATCATCTCCAATTAGGAAAAAAATTTCTGGGTCATGGAGCAGGACTTCAACTTTTACATGTACATCCATGGAGAAAAAGTCCCAGTGCATACTTAGCTGTTGCTAGTTTGGTTACATTATGAGCTATTTACTGAGAATCCCTTACTGGGCTGTTGATCTCTCCACAGAACAAGAAAATGTGAGGGGAGTGTGTTTTTCCTCCATCACAGCATATTATCTTACTTTCATGGCATTAACCAGCACATCCAACACTAACATGAGATTTCCAGTTATTCTTGTTTACTTTTCTATGCCCCTTTGAAGTGCTATGAAGAACAGGATTTATTAGGAAGCAATAATCCAGGAGAAAGATTTGCAGGTGTTGATTGACAAGAAGTTCAACATGAGCGGGTAAAATATGTTTGAAATATCTGACTTTGTCCTGGGCTGCATCACCAGCAGCATGACCAGCAGGATGGTGGAGGTGGTTCTCCCTCCCTCCTGCACTCTTGGGAGACCCCACCTGCAGTGCTGCATCCAGCGCTGGGGCTCCCACGTGAGGAGGGGGTGGATCTGCTGGAGCAAGTCCAGATGAGGCCATCAGGGTGCTACAAAGGCTGAGGGAGCTGAGAGTACTCAGCCTGACAAGGGAATAATCCAGGGAGAGCACAGAGTCCTTCCAGTGCCTAAAGGGGCTCCAAGAGACCTGGAGAGGGACTTTGGACAAGGGCCTGGAATGCCATGGTGAGAGTGAGTGGCTTTGTAGTGACAGAGGGCAGAGTCAGGTGGGATTTGGGAATAAATTCTTGACTGTGGGGGTGGTGAGTCATTGGAAAAAATCACCCAGAGAAGCTGTGGCTGCCCCATCTTAGGAAGTGTCCTGGAAGTGACACTGGAAGTGTCCTGGAAGTGACTTCCATTCCTTGGAAGTGTCCAAGGCCGGGTTGGATAGATCTTGGAACAGCCTTATCTAGTGGGAGGTGCCCCTTCCCATTGGAACTGGTTGATCTTTAAGGTCCTTTCCAACCCAAACCAGTCTGTGATTCCATGACCCTTCAGAGATGTTGCAGGGCTCTGAACCAGCCCTTGGCCAATGTTAAAGAATTTCTTCACATGGGAAGCTGAAAAATTGTAAAGTGCATCTCTACTAAATCTTATTTCTCAAAAAGGAGGCTGCAACAGGCAGAAACAAGGACTACTGCACAGGTACATAGGAGAAACAATTAAGCAAAAATTTAGAGTGATCAACCATCAGCAAAGATTTCTGCTTGCCAAGGAATCATGTAAATGCCAGACAAAAGGTGAACTTAGAGGAGTTAAATGTTATTTTTCACCAACAGGTTGTTGCCAATGCTACACAAGTTATCACAAACATTAAGTTCAAAAACCTATTATGGCACTTCACCTATCACTTAATACTGAGCAATTTAGAAATGACAAGACCATTGATAAAAAGTAAATACAATTCTGCTATCCATTAACCTTTTTTGCAAATAGACACTCCAGCATTTGGCTGAAAAAATACCTTGTGATCCTTCCTCCAGAGCCATGGGTCCCACTTAGTATACATACCTTTGACATCAGGATTAAACACACCAGGAGTAGCTACACCCACAAACATCTGATGCTGGATGTGATCTAATTCACAACAGGTTGCAACACAATAAAATCCACATGAGGCAGCAGGCTGATGCAACTGTAAAACCAATGGATCATATGTTAAAGAGTCCACTTTTTCCACAAATGAAAGACTGCATACAGAATTATATTAGAAACAGAGGCATGTGTAAATAAGCAAAATGACCTTTGAAATTTAGAAATAGAATAGGAACATATTTTTATTTTATTGACTTATTTACTTCATAAGTAGATATGCATTTTTATGGCCTGTTCTGATGCTTATCACATTGCATGTTCGGGTCCTGATTAACTTCCTGGGGTTACACTACAACCAGCAGCAGAATTTCTAAAGTACTTTGGCAAAGCTTTGTTTTTATAGTAATATTGACGTAATCAAACCCAGCAAGCTCTAGAAATGCTTTAGAAAAATATATTCCCATTGCTTGATTACAGCATTTTTGGTTAAAATATCAGAATTCCCAAACCACAATTAGAATAAAAATCACTGGTTTAAACTAAAGAGAAGGAAGTTTTATGGGGAGGTGTTAAGGCAGTCTTCCTAGTAGTCAATTAGGCACTTGAATACCTAGTCCAAGATCACCACAGATGGTTAAAAAACAGTCTGGACAAACACATCATGAATAGACTCAAATACATGAAAAGCAGGATGTTAGTCTGGCTGGTCACAAAGGCTCCCTCCACCCTACATGTATTTTATTTGTATACTATAGCATGACAACCAAATATATTTTTAGATAATTAGTTCTGAATTGCACTTCAGTACAGCACCAGTATTGCTCATCCCAAAAATCCTACTGCTTTTTGATAACCATTCTCTTAAAATAACCAGACTGAGATACTGGAGGTTAAGTGGACCCAGGTAAAAATGCTAGAGTTTATATAGCAATTTACTAGATTGCAGGTCCTAAGAAAAGCAGTTCCTTTCCCACTCCATAAATGTTCATTCTAAATATTTAGTAAGCTGAATGCTTATTTTTATAAACATGTCTCTACAAAACATATGGATTCTTACTGAAAAAACACTAAGAAAATAAAAGCCCCTTTACACTATGAGCTAGTGCAGTGTGCCATGCCTTGCTTTCAGGAATTGTCTTTATCTGAGAAGTATAAGCTAAAATATCGATTTATAATGAAAACCTGATTATCTTAGTTGCAATAAAGCAAATGATACACTTAATAGGATGTGCATGCTCTTTCCAAGCAGCTTATTGTATTGCTGTATCAATTAAGAAAGCAGTATGCCATCTGCAGATGTTTATGTATGAAATCCTGCAAAGGGAAAACATTTGAATTACAGAACAGATTAAATAATCAAAAATTAAATTGCATGATAAGGTGTTTCACAGGGTGGAGGGAAGCAGCACAGTGGAGGAAAATCCATCCCCATGACTACTGGTCCTTCCTCCTCCCTGCTCACTGCTGTTCATCTCCTCTTGGATTCCAGAGCTTGTTTTATTCCTCAGCAGTCTTCCTACAGCCTGGCAGATTCAGTACTGCTGGAAAGTGGGGATCTGTGGTTTGTTACAGACAGAGAAGAAAGGAGAGTTTAAGTGTTGCTTTAGGAGACATGGCTTTGCTCTGGATTCTTTTATACAGAAAGAAGATGTGTTTGCTGGCTCTGAGGGAAAAGAAAAATTGTTAAATCAGTGTGGATATGACTTGAATTTTTCATCAGGTAAGAAGTCAGAAAATCAATAAAACTATTACAGAAGTTACTGAAATATTTTTTAAAGCAATATTTTATTCTCTATAATCTAGATTTAAATTTGAATGTAAATTTTTCTCTACATTTTAGCTGTGCAATACTTAGGAACTTAATAAACAAGGTTTGTAATTGAAACATTTACTGGTCACCTTGAAAGGACAGGACTGTTCATCTTTAGCATAGGTAAGAAAATACTTAGGAAATAAAACCTTTCTAAAACTCATTTTATTTTAGACCTTTCTTTTTCTCATGAATGTTTCAGTAATGATTCTGCAGATAGATGAATGTAACAAGACCAGGGGGTTTATAATATCTTACAGTGTTAAACTCTTACTATGATAGAGAATCTTTTCCAAAATGCATGGATTAGGGGTTGAAGTAATTAGTACTTTTTGTTAAACACTTCAATTCTGGTGTCAGCTGTAGCTGCAGTCCAAGGATGCTGATTCCAATAACATTTATTTAATAGATTAAAAAAATGCCAGCATGTATTACAATATAGTTCAACATGCTGTAGCAAATACTAGAGTAACTTATTTTTTAATGCTATGAATAATCCTGATCTTTACCAAGACAGGTGAATTTGTTTTATTGCCAAGGAAATGTTTAAATTGCCTTGCAAAAAGATGTGTACTAAAGACTGCAGTCTTTAACTCCCGGAACAAACCAAAGAGTGAAAAGAAATGACACATTTTCCTGAGAAAAGGACAGCGTAGATGGAGAGTGTGCCTAAAACTGATCTAGCAAGTGAACTGATTAGGTCAGTACATGGACTTTTCCCAAACAGAAAATGCCAGAGAAGCCCTACCATCCTGAATTCTTGGGAGAGGACATTCAGAACTTGCTATCAAACAGTGTTGTGCATCCATGGAGAATTAAGCAAGCTTAGCAAATAGTGCATAAAATATTACAAACTTGGCTCAGCCTCATGGCCTTTTGAGTCCCCCACAGCTTCTCCTGCTCACATAAAAAGCAGGGAAGAGCAGAGTTGGTCTTTGAAGGTATCAGATCTGTGCCAGCCAGGTGGACACCACAGGCACTGCAGAGAAAGATCATCCCTTGGGGCAAAGCAGCCAGGCTTTAGATCCTCACACTTCTGAAGTGCAGGAAATCTCACTTGGGGCAACCACTGCCACTGTTGGTGGTACATCCACCATTCAGTGCCTCTGTCCTTCCAGCACATGCATGCTTGGGTGGGAGAAACCAGCCAGGCAGCGAGTGCTGCTCCAGGGAAAGGTGGGTGCCAGTGCACTCCAGGAATTCGGTGTCCTGAAGGGGCTGCTGCCCAAGCACATCATGGGGCTCTGCAAGGGGCTGGCAGTGACAGTGCCTCCCTCAGGAGGACAAGAGTTTGTGGAGCCTGGTGGACACACAGTGGGGTACCCAGCTCTTGCTCTTGCCCTACTGGAGTAGGGACACCTTCAAGGGACTGCAAAATCTATCAGAGCCACCAGACTTCCATAGTTATTACAGCAGGATTGTAGAGTTTTTCATGTCATTCCCCAGTATGGCTTTAACCAAGCCAGGTACATTCTTTAGGGAGACTCTGCAGGGCTTAATGCTACCCCTGACTACAATTTAGGTCATTGTTGGGACATCAGGGCCACACAGAGTCACATATATCTACAGCTACTTCCCACTCCAATATGAGTATGCTGATTAAAAAGGGTATTTCAATCAGAGTGAGAGTGGTAGTAGATGCTCTAAAGGTGAGCATGGTGTTTTTTAGAGATTTTTAATAATCCTAATTTGAAGCACCCAAACTTATATCAAACGGAAGTATCAGGATAAAGCAGTCTAGGATATAACTCTGGCTGGAATATTCTTTGAGTGTCTGTGGGAAATCTAGTACAGAATCACAATTACAGTTTAAGCCTGAATTCAGTGTTTAATTTTTTACAGGCAACCAAATATTTTTTTAAATCCTTAGTGATTAAATAATGGCAATCATTTCTGTGAAAGGGCTGACAAATCTTCTACACATAAGCAGATTTTTTCTAGTAATAATAAAACATCCACCTATCCCTTCTTTTTGTGTATCCTCTAACTTCCCACTGCTTCTTCATTCTCCTTTCTCCACAGGCTCTCAACACCATTACTAGGGGTGAAGAATGATCTCCTTCCAGCTAGTTTTCCAGTAACTTCACAGGGGAATTAAGGCAAGTTAAAGTTGAGTTTTGAAAGATATAAGTGTAGAACATATACCCATTACCCATTTTAAAATTTTAAAATAACTCTTTTAATACTTAGCTTTTCCTTTCCCAGGTTGGAAACAAACTCTTTCTGGCTAGAAAGCTGGTGAGCCTTTAAATTAACTTTTGCACTCAGTGACAAATTCAAACATATCAAGATATTATGTTGAACCTAACTCTTCCCATTAATATAAGTTTTAAAACCACAGAACTGTGCTAGTATCATATTTTCTTCTTGACTCCTGTTTAAGTTAGAGCTGAAAGAGGAGTTACTTTCTGTATAACTACAATGTGATCTTTATTTTGTTTACATTTTTCTCAGGTGAGATTTAGGAAAAGGACATACTATCTTCAATGCATCAGTAGAACAGGAAACTCCCTTTAGATATCATTCATAGAGGCTTTGAATGCCATTTGAGCTCAAGCACACATAACTTTGATTAATTCAGGAGGATTGAGTGTATTAATTCACATTGCTTTGTAGCTCTAAAGAAAATCTAAGTGTGATGCCTAAGCTAGCAGAGTGATGGCAGGACCCAATTCTTCTTTTCTGGTAATACAAAAGCAACAGATTATCCTCATTGGAATCCACTAAACCTTCTTAAACCTTCAGCAGAGACAGATTTTAGAATACTTTATTCTGAAAATCAAACTTTACCCACAACTGGTAAAGGTGGTCTTGTTTGAAAGTGTCTGTACAAGTTTAGTCAGAGCTGCTATCACAGCTGGTTCTTGTGCATCAGTTATAGATCTGTAGTGTTAGTGCAGAACCTCAGAAAGGTGACATCAACCTCCTTCCACAGAGACACATAAACCCACTAATAACCATGTGCTTTTCCAGTACTGTAATTAATCATGTTAGATTTGCTCAAAACCGTAAGGACACTGACTACAGTGATAGACCCAGAGTACTCACTGCTTTGAAAATCTCCATGCAAAGTATATTCTAAATAATACAAGGTTTTGTCCATAGGTTGGAAGATGCTTCAGGATGGATAAAGCTGTTCAGCATCCCAGCGAAATCCTGAATCAAACTGTCTCTAATATTAGCCTTTTTCAGTTCTTGAACTTTGATACATGCCAGCTTTCCTCCCTTGCAGAATTCTTACTTATTACAGCTTACACATTGGTTACACTAGTGGGGCTTGTTGGAAATCTTTGCTTAATTATGATAATAAAGAGACGGAAAGAAGCTCAAAATGTCACCAACATTTTGATTGCCAACCTCTCTTTATCAGATGTCTTGATTTGTATCATGTGCATTCCTGTCACAGTTGCATATACCTTAATGGACCACTGGATATTTGGGGAAGCAATGTGTAAAATAGGCTCTTTCATACAAAGTCTATCTGTCTCAGTCTCCATTTTCTCACTTGTACTCATTGCTATTGAGAGATACCAGTTAATTGTGAACCCACGGGGCTGGAAGCCTAATATTTCACATGCTTATTGGGGAATTCTTCTTGTCTGGGGGCTTTCCCTCATCATATCCACTCCTTTTTTAGTATTCCACCAAATAACAGATGAACCCTTCAAACATTTGTCTTTCTACAGTGATTTCTACAAGAACAAGGTTGCTTGCATCGAAGCGTGGCCGTCTCTTACAGAGAGACTGATTTTCACCACCAGCCTCCTGGTTTTCCAGTACTGCTTCCCACTGGGGTTTATTTTTGTCTGCTATCTCAGGATATTTGTATGTCTTAGACGGAGACAAAGTAAAATAGACAGGATGAGAGAGAATGAGAACAGGCTGAGTGCAAACAAAAGGATCAATATGATGCTGATATCAATGGTTGTGACCTTTGCAGCTTGCTGGTTGCCTCTCAATATATTCAATGTGGTTTTTGACTGGAACTATGAGGCACTAATGAGCTGTAATCATAACCTGGCATTTACAATCTGCCACCTTGTGGCCATGATCTCAACATGTATCAATCCCATCTTTTATGGATTTCTGAACAGGAACTTCCAGAAGGATTTGGTAGTGTTAGCTCACCACTGCAGATGCTCAGCATCACAAGAGGAATATGAAAATATTGCCCTTTCAAACCTGCAAACAGATGCATCTAAGGGGTCTCTGAAGTTAAATAATCCCCATGCGGATATATAAAATAATCTAACTGCAGCTTCCAAAATTCTGTATTTTGCTGCAGATGGCCTTTTTCTGTTACCACCAAGTTTAGAGAAAGTCTGCCATTTAGTTCAGCAAAACCGGGATTATGCTCCCATAGGCATAGTCCTAACAGGTACTTTATGATAGTATTAATGCTGGTAAAACCACTTCCAAAAGCCCTACAGATCAATCATAATAAATTATAAACAGTATTAACATCTTACTTTTTTTCCAATAAAAGTGTTTCCATTTCAGCCATTGATGGGGATGTCCTTCCTAAACACCTGGCTTCCCCCAGGTAAACCCTGAACTCTGTGGTATTCCTAACTTCAGCAGCCTTTCACACAGTTCGCTGGCATTTTTATTTTCCAGCCCTATACCAATACCATCCCTGATGAATCTGCAGTTTAGAGGCAGTTCACACTGTAAGAAAGGCCCTTGAAGTTATCCAAGACTCCACCACCTTCCTTTCAGCCCCCTCATGCACTTTGCTTTGGCTTAGTGGCAGTTCAGCCCAGAAATTGTATTTTAACAAGGAAAAAGGCTAGAGCTGGACTTTTTTTTTTATGAACACTAAAACAGGACCCATTTGATGTACTGCAAGTTTCACTCAGAATGATGGTGCTCAAGATGAAATATATATTTAGCATTTCTCCTAAAAGCATTGCATTCTCCAAAGCACCAGTAAAGGTCATTGTTTTTCTCTTTTACCATCATCACTGCTCCTTACAGCAACCTTTTAGAATCTCCATTATCAAAACAACCCACTACGAATTCAGAGTAAAATTTGTTTTGGCTACTTACTCAGATTTCTCTTTGAGTTGAAAATTAGGTTTGCATTTTAATTTCAGCTATATTTCCCCCCACATTTCTGCACTAGCAAGAGGGCACACTTGAGCAGATGTGGTCATTTCTGTTCACAGAAATACAGTTTCTCTGTTTGAAAGCATTTTCTTGAGTAGCACACTACAAAGAAGCCTAAAGGGATAATACTGAACAGATTTTTTTTTAAACTAAAGCATTTTAGAAACCACTTTCCAGTGTGGCCATAAAAAAGTAGCCAAACTTCTTTTTTATCCATGATATAGTGGCAACATAAATAATCAGTTAATATTGAGCTGTTTAAACACAGTACTTAGAACACTTTAGTCCAAAAACTCACCATGCTTCCTCTTGTTCAAATTAAATATAATTGATTACTTGTACTGCTAAAGCCCCTTCTTTTTTTTCTTCTGAGTTTCAAAACACCCTGTTCTAACACTTGTACATAAAGTTCCTTGTAAAGTATTCTCTAACTTCAGCAATTTATTAATGCCCCACTTAAGCAAAAAGAATTCACATTCAAATTACAGTGAGCTCCTTGATGACTCAGCTGTGATGAAACTCACCTTAAGGCTATGAAGTTCTCTTGGAGAGGGAACATTGCTTTCCTTACCTGTCCAGTTCCTAAAGGGTTCAGGCACAGTTCTTGTTCCAGCATCAGTTCAGACTGTCTGCACTGCTCTGCTCATCAGAGGAGCTCTGTCAGAAGAGCCTCACCAGCCCCTGCAGATGCTCAGGTTTGTTAAGTACCCTCTGATTCACACTGAGATAAAAGACCTTGGTGAAATCTCTTCGTGTCTGAGCCCATAGAAGTCAAAAGGGCAGCACCAGCACAAGAGAAAGAATGGTAGAATTAGTGACATGGTAATCAAGAATCTGAGTGATAGGTATGGATTATCTTTGGCATAATTTAGGGGATTTTTCTAATTAAATCAAATATCATGCATGTGGAATTGATTACGCAACCTTAACCTCTGCCTTGTGCATCACAGAGAAAAAAACAGGAGACAGCTAAATACCTAAAAAAAGCCAATGATCAGACTGTCAAGAGTATCTCAGCATTAACTATTTCTGTGAACTTCAGCCCAGGTCACTGGGCTGCCTTTATTGCTGATGCACATCATCTGTTTGTTCAGCACAACAGGCATTTCATCAGGTTAAAAGCAGTGACTTGCAGTCAATGACACTGGGGCCAAACATGGTCAGAGGGGCTGGCTGTGCTCTGGTGAAGGGATGGAGCTGCTTCTTTCACCACTGAGACTCCTGGGTAACAAAGTGATTCACTGTCTTCATTGCACCTGGCTAAACTGAGAGCAGATCTGACCCAGGAACTTCACTTTTCTTAGGGATCCCAGTACCTGTCTTAAAACCATCTACTCCTGTCAGAAGGACGTTTCCTGAACAGTGTTTTAACAAATGCTGGTGCCACACCTGCTAGACTGGGCTATCAACAGTATCTCCCTGGGTTTTGAACACAAATCTCTATCACCATCTTCCTCAAATTTAAGTACACTGTTTACAGCTTCAGGGCCCATGCTTAAAGCATTTTACAAGCACATAACATTCACAATTTACTATAATTTATTAATACTAGCACAGCAGTTCAGATTGTTGTCATTGGCAAATGTCTCAGATGGTATTTAAAGTCTGAATCAGGCCCAGCTGAAATTCCCATGTGTGAACTTGGCCTAAGTGGCTCCCATCCCATCCCATCCCATCCCATCCCATCCCATCCCATCCCATCCCATCCCATCCCATCCCATCCCATCCCATCCCATCCCATCCCAAAGGCCAAGTGTGCTTACTTTTACAGCAGAGGTGGTTTTAGTATCATGTCCCAAGTGGTTTTAAAGCAATCATGAAATGAATTCTGGTTCAGATTCTATGATGCTGATGGATGGTCTCTCCATAGAAGTGCTTGGGCAGTATGTATTAGACAGGCATAAAAGAGAAGATTGCCATCATTTTTTTGCAATAGCAATTGTCTACTCCTGACATCCTGATCAGAGTTAAGCACTCCATTTTTCCTTCCAGTCTGAAAATCTTGGTATAAGAGGGTTCTTCATTAGCAGGTGGGAGCTCTCTGAGCAATGACACTGCTTCAGAATCAAAAGTGAACAATAACACTTGTGCCTTGATTTCTCCTTCTCATTTTTTCTCACACTTTCACTTGACTCAAGTGTTGATGGATGCTGCATTTCTGTTCTGAGCATTCAGTCATCAAGCATCTCTCCTTGATGTTGCACTTGTAACAATCATTGTTAACAGAGCAGAGGATTCTCACTGCCTCAGACGTCGCCCTCAGCGCTGCACATTCTCTCACCACATCCACTGCCTCCCTGTGCATCCTGATACTGGACTTCCAAGCAAGTCAGCAGGAGCCAATTGACTGTGACAGGAATAGGAACAAAGAGTAATTTCTTGTTTTTAAAGCATAAGTATTGTGGACTCCAACCTGGTGTGTGACAGTGGTAAAGGTAACTGCAATACCTGATATTTAAAGGTTGCTCAAGTTAAACTGGCAAATGTTGCCCTGTCTTGGGTAATGCTGACGACTTCATTTTCACTTCTTTAATTGGTATAGCCAAGTAGAAAAAAATACTAACAGCATTTCTCAGCAGAAAGTTGTTACATGATGCAACCAGCTGGAGAACTGTGAGCTTTCTTGGGGAAGCAGCACCATGGAACTAACTACAGAAAGCTGGAGGGGAAGCCTGAACTCCCAGATGCTATTCCAGTGTAGAAAGTCTTAGTTTTTAAAAATAAAAACTGTGTCAGAAATTTGTTTGAGTGGTTTGGTCATGTAGACCAGACCAATATATTTATAAACATCCTTGTAAATGAACTGTGTCGTTATATGTTTGTGTATTTTATTGCTGACTGGTTTCACTTTAACCACCTATAACCTTATAACTAGTCTTAGATACTTGGGAGCTGCCATTCACTGTGGAAATGATTCCACTTTTGAGCAAAAAGCTCAACTGATTATTGACTGTAATCCTGTCTGTGGACAAAGGCAGTGTCAGTACTGTGTGTGATTTAAAGACTGATTTCTCCCATTAACTGATAAATAAATTTTACCCTGTGTAAAACCATTCCCCTGCCCAGCTGGTGAATTGTACTGCCTGTAACTGGGATAGGACACTTCTCATTAAAATGGGGCACCAGAACATCAAGAATCCCCAGAAGGTCCAAAGAGAGATCCAAAGTTCCAAGAGAAATCCAGAGCCCACTGCAGGTCAAAGGGATGGCCATGGAGCCAACAGAGCACAGCTCAAGGGCACAAAGGTACTCAGGAAGGGACCAGACAAGACTTCAGATGTGTGAGGGAGCTGCTGACGCAGAGGAGACAAATGAGAAGGAGGAGAGGACACAGAAACTGCTCTGAGGAGAAGGGGTGACCTCCAGAGATGCCCTGACAAACCCAGAGGGGTACAAAGTACACCAGAGATAGCAGTGTGCTATGGTCTTCCTTTAAAGCACCAGGATGAGAGAAGAGGGGGAAAAAAAAGACACATAGAAAAATTAAAAAGCAACAAGGTATATGACAAATGAGAAAAAAAAAAAAAAAANGAAAAAAAAAAAAAACTTAAAAAATAGCAATAGCCAGCTCAATAAAAGGAGACAGAAAGAAAAATTATAAAAGCTAAGGGGTACAAGGCAAAGGAAGAAAAAAATATATATAGAAGTAGACACAGAAAAGCAATTTAAAAAATGAGAGGAGAGTCAATCTGTAGAAAAGCTTTAAGAAACCTCACAATGAAGGGTCAGACAGGCTGTGGAATTGAGTGGAACCTCACAGACTCCATAAACAACATTGTCCCTTCAATTCTATGCTAATAAGACACTTAGAAATATTCCACAATGGCAACTGTAGAATTATCTTGTCTGCTATCACTCATTTTTAAACAAAGTTCCCTTGGTTTCCATGCAAATGCACTGACTGATGCCTTTTATTTAATTTCCATTTCACTTCATTTCACTTCATTTCATTTCTTTCATTTCATTTCATAGATTTCTCCATTAGTCACAGGCTATTTACATAATGTGATGGAATTGGCACGTGTGGAGCTATTCTCCACAGAATTCACTTCACCCTCATACCTGATGAGGAAAACCTGTTAATTCATGTAGATGTCAGGGTTGTAATAGCTCCATGAATTAGTTCTTCCAGCCAGGGATGGCTATCAGAATCACAAGAAGCTCTGAAAGTTTGGGTTCCCTCT